CCTCCATACCTTAACTGATTCTGACAAAATCCTTTGTTGGAAACAACAACAAAAAAAAACATTGTTTCCATGACCATTATGGTAATTTGAGAGTAGAGATTATCAGAATTAAATTCTGTGTATTTATTTTATTTTTCATTAAGTCACTGTATCAGGGTTCTTTGATTTTAATATAATTACTTATTTTGCTATGCAGATAAAAACATACACAGATCGTCTGTTGCTGTTTAGGCATTTGTCCTGCTAAAATGGCCATACAACTACAACAAGCAAACATTCTTCAATGTACATTACAGGTATTTTTGTTTTCCCAAGTGATTGCAGGAGATATTTGGTTGTTCAAATGTGTTTTTTATGACTTGTTAAATATGGAGCAAAATTCAATACTATTCACACATGTACAGTAGAAGGAAATAACAATTATTTCAATACTTTACAATTGAAAACTGATTTGTTTCACAACAGACAGCTTCCTTGGTGAACATTGCCACAATTCCAAAATGACAACTTTTTAAAGGCCTGATAATTATATTAAAAAAATGAATGTTGAAATGCACTAAAATTCAATTTAACAGTCCTATAGGCAATTTCTCCTGCTATGCTTCATCTAATTAAAGAAATGCTGCTGTTACTCCAAAAGAACCACTTTTTAATATCATTGGCAGTGACTTTATACCAATATCTTAAAAGCTTAATTTAAGTTTTGAAATTTCTCTTGCATTTTTAACATTTTCTGTTTTGCTTTTTTCAAACTGTTACTTTGTGATTATCCTCTTCTTTTACTGATTCTTTTTTTCTGCTCAGTTTATCATGCCAAATGCACCTTTTTTGTTACTGATGTGTGCTTTTTAAAATTATTTTCTTTAAATTTTCAATAAAGACAAAAGAAAAACATCACCGTATTTCCACTATTTAATGCAGCGATGATTTGTGTGTAATAAACTTCACCAAAGCCCATGGTAGATGGAGAAGGGTCTAGTTGCAGCCACCGCCAACTAGGAAACGCCACATGTCCAACGTGTGTCTTTGCCATGATTTGATCGCCCCACATCGCCCCCTGGTGTCTCAGAAACGCCATTAATTTAAACTCGTGACTGAAGTTACAACTCCTGCAGAGTCCTCCTGTATTCTCAGAAAGGCAGATGGGCGTTATTAATATCTACAAAGTAAAACATAAATCCCACACATTTGACTCGGTGTTTCAGAACATTTTAGGACAAACAAAAATTTTATTTTTGTTTAAGTTGAATCATATTTCAGTAGCTTTGTTGTGTTTTTATCAAATTATTTTAATTATATAATCTTTTTGTTTTTAATTGCATTTTGAATTTTGTTTAAATTAATCTTTTTTATCTTTTTCTTTCTTTATCCTAGATTTCACAACAAAATGTTAGTTCTTATTGAAGTTATGATTAAAGTAAGAAATTGCAAATACTCTTTTGTTTAAGTTCATATTTAAAATACAACTTTGATCTGTGAAGACTTGTCCCCTAACAGATTTTCTCAGTTTCTGATTTTTTTTAACACACTTCAGTGGTTCATATGATTAACCAAATTCCAATTTCAGACAAAAAAAAAAATAAAATGCAGTTTTTAAATGACTATTTAACTTAAGGGGAAAAAAATACACCCAATCCCACTTGGCCTTGTGTGAAAAAGTAATCACCAATTACCCCATACACTTTCCTTTGTTTAATCATGTCATGAATCAATTTTTTTAGAAAGTTATGTTGAGTTTCACTTGCTGCACCCAGGCCTGATTACTGAGAACAGCATTCACGTATGAACATGAATGCTGACTACTACATTCCTGCTGTAAACTGCTCTGTGCCCACAGGAAAATGTAATTGTGAATTTCACTTAACTCTTAGTTAGACATTTCACAACCATTAAATATTTTATTCATACAGCATTATCAATGGTCAAGGAGAAACAAATAAATACTTTGCTAATGTTAAAAGTGAAGGGACAGCCTCCACAATGTAGCACAAACTGCTAAAGTCAATAAAGCAAAAATTAGCATCAGATGAATATAATACCAAAAATGTTAAAATCACTGTTAAATCAGTTATAGAAAAACAAACACTAAGAAACAACATGCAAACATTAAGATGTACTTAAACTAATTATAAAGAATAAAATAAAATGAAACAAAACATCAACTGAAATTTCATTCTTGTTCAAAATGAAACAAACCTCATTGTCTGACTTAACTTTGAACATAGTAATGAGTATGCTGGTGAACTCACACAGCAAATTTATGCAGAAATTCAATAAATTCATTGTTTGAATCTGAATATCTCTTTTGATCATCCCAGCTCAAACAATAACATTTGGTCTGAGAAATCAATAAATAACTGAACTACTTTTAGCTTAGTTGTTAGCTATCTCTGCCTGGTTTTTAGTTGTATTATCTAAATTAATAAAATTAATTCAGGTGAATAAAACCCACTGGAGCAGTGGTAGCATCCATGGCTGAACAGAAACAGAAGCAGACAGCACTCAATCTAAACCCAACATCAACAAAAGACAAAGTGGCTCCCTAAAGACAACTGATCACTGAGCAGAGAGGAAATGGCCAAACAGTGAGCGCTTAGCAACAATGATTGAGACCTCTGATCACTTCTGTCCGTTACAGTTCAATAAACTTAGCAGAGTCTCCATAACTATAAAACCCAACTCCAGCATGCAGCGGCTGAGTGAAGCAGGTCTGGACTCTGTGGAGGAGAGTCATGGTTCCAGAGACGTGGTAGAAAGACAGAACACCTGCTCTGTGATCCAGATACACTCCTACTCTGGATGAAACAGGAACTAACACTTGAGTTTCTACTCTGTTGTGATAAAATATGTAAATTTGTCTGTGACAATATAATGTCCAAGATTTGTCAGTGTTTCGAAAATCGCTGTCACCTTCCGACCTGCTGATGTTCTTGTATGAAACTGCTAAATCGACTTCCGTCCCGCTCCACTCCACCTCCCAGTAACAGCGCCCAGTCAGACTCTCTCTGCTGAGGATCTGAGTGCAGTTAGAGAATCTGTCTGGGTGATCAAAATAAAACTGGTCTTCCTCCACTAAAGTCACTTTCCTGTTTCCCTCAGATAACAACAGAAAGTTGTTTGCTGTGTTTGGGTCCAGAGTGATTCTTTTTGAATATTTCAAGAAGTCAGTTCTGGTCTTAGGTTCTGGTTCTGACAGGAGAACATCCACCAGGGGGACTGTCTTTGGGAGGTTTGTCCTCATGTCTCTCAGGATGTCCTGTAGTTTATCTCTGAGCTCTGACATAGCTGTTGTCACGTCCTCAAAGTGTCTCAGAGGACGATCGTCGATGCTGGATGAGTGTGTCGACTCACTGAGTGCTGACAGTGAGGGGTAGTTGAGGAGAAACTGGTTGTGATCCTCTGTGTGTGAGAGCTGCTCCAGCTCAGCGTCTTTCCTCTTCAGCTCAGTGATCTCCTGCTCCAGCTTCTCCTGAACATCTTTGACTCGACTCACTTCAGTTTCCTGCTGGGATCTGATCTGCTGCTTCACCTCAGAGCTTCTTTCCTGGAGGAGACGGATCAGCTCAGTGAAGATCTTCTCACTGTCCTCCACTGTTTTATCAGCAGAGACATTGATGACCTCCACTTCCTGTTGAAGCAGCTTCATATCTTTCTCTCTGTTCTGGATTCTGTGCTGGATTTGTTGTTGCCTCACCTGGAGCTCCTTCTGCTTCTCAGCCCTTTCTGCTACAGCTGGCACAGTTTCATGGCCTTTATGTTCATCCATAGTGCAGAGATAACAGATGGACTGCTGGTCAGTACGACAGAAGATCTTCATCACCTCGTCATGACGAATGCAGAGGTTCTCCTGGAGCCTCTTCGTCGGGGGAATCAGTTTATGCTTCTTCAAAGGCGGAGCATCATAGTGAGGTTGGAGGTCTCTCAGGCAGTAGGAGGTCAAACAGGATAAACAGGACTTGACAGCTTTCATCTTTCTCCCAGTGCAGACATCACAGGCCACATCTCCAGGTCCAGCATAACAGTGGTCAGCCGGAGCATGTTGGAGTCCAGTCTTCTTCAGGTCCTCCACTAACTCGGCTAACAGGGTGTTTTTCTGGAGGTCAGGTCTGCGATTGAAAGTCTTCCTGCACTGTGGACAGCTGTGGGTTCCCTTCTGGTCCTCTATATCCCAATGGTCTTTAATACAACTCATGCAGTAGCTGTGTCCACAGGATGTAGTCACCGGATCCTTCAGTAGATCCAAACAGATGGAACAGGAGAACCTTTTCCGATCCAGCTGAACTCCTGCCTGTGCCATTTCTCCTCGCAGTGAGAACGACTTGCTGAATTTCACTTCCTCCAAAGTGAAACTGAACTCTGCTCTAAATATGGCATGTTGTTACAGCTAAAGAGGCAACAAGCTGTTAGACCTGCCTCTAAACTCTGAGATCTAAAGGGGAGGGGAAGAAAAACATGCACTGACAGTGTGGTAACTTCTACAGTAGTTAACACACTGTTGATTCCAGGAAGAACTTTGATGTGTGTGTGTGTGTGTGTGTGTGTGTGTGTGTGTGTGTGTGTGTGTGTGTGTGTGTGTGTGTGTGTGTGTGTGTGTGTGTGTGACCTCTGGAGCCTCCACACAGGTCTCCTACTTTCATGCAAGGCGGCTCTTATGGAATCAATTCATCAGCTCTCACAGTGGAGTGCCTGGCTCCTCTCAGATACCTTCAGTGACTGATTCTGTCTGCCTTGCTAACAACTTCCTCTCCCTGCGGCTGACCAGCAGCGGCCATGTTGTTACAGTGCGCAGCGATGGACACAAAGACATCTTTGAGAATATGACCGCATGCACCAGGAGCAACAGAGCCACACGGGAGACGAAAGGTCACCACTCTTCTATTTATTCTTTGCTCAGAATACATGGTGCTGAAACATTTACATGACATCTGGGATAATGTTAGCAACAGAAATACAACAGAAATACGCCCAGGCAAGCTTCTCTCTTTGGCTCATCGTGTTTCTTTCCATGTTGCTATCATTTATTGATGACTCATTTTCAGATGATTTTGTGAAGAGAGTTCAAAGATAGGAGTCTGTGTTGTCAGGTTAGTAATTCCAATCTGAAAAAGGGCAAAGAAGATCCTTAAAATTAGATTTTGTTCTAGTAAAAGTTAAACAAAAAGAGCAGTCTGGTGTTAAACTCAGTGGTGGACAATATCAAAGTACACTTGAATACTATAGTTAAGTACATTTAGAATATCTTTAATTTACTTGAGTATAAATTTTTGGCAAACCTGTGACTTTCACATTTTGAGAAAGCTAATCGTTTATTTGTTCCTTTTGGCTCAGCGAAACTTTGTAGTTCATTTTCTTTCCTGAAATGCGATTGGCCATACGCTATGCTCCTTACAAGAAGAACCAATCAGTCGCCGCTCACACTTCGGATTTAGAATTACGTCATCCTCTTTAAATTTCGTGAGTTGAGCTCCTGCTTTCATTCAAACAGAACTCAGAATGGAGACAGTCAAAGAAAACGGCGCCCCCATGGAAATAACCAGGTTTGATGTCTGTAATGCTAAAACAGACAATGGCTATAAAAAGAAAGTTAAAATGATTTAACCAGTTTTGTCAAAAAATGCAAAAAAATACAATCTCAATTGTGGGGAGTCAAGAATTGTCCTTTTTTAATCCTTTTTTAGAGTTAAAGTGTTTTTGATTTAAAGAAAAAAGCTGAATTTTTATGCTAAGTTTTTACAGATAATGTAAGCAGAGCGGTTCTACATATCAGTACATCATTACTTGGTTTCAACAAGTTTCAAGGCTCTGGATAAGAACTCAGAAAATAACTTGAGTAAACTTTTGACTGAACAACTAGCTGAGTAAGATTTGACCATGAGTAACCATACTTTTACTCAAACACTAGAGCTGAGCAGTTTGTCCACCACTGGTTAAACTTTACTTCTGCCTTCCCCTTTGTCTTAACTTTTCCTTCACCCACCTGAGTTGCATCTCAGTTTAGGAACCAGCCGATGACATAGCTGCAGAGGCCATGGAAGCTCTTCCAGCAGTACTCCGTGGCGAGGCGGGATGCAGAGCCCTGCAGAGGCTTAGCTGGCTGAGGCTGCGGTTTTGTGGGTTTACGGGTAGCGGTGGGTTTGTACTGCACTGCTGGCACTGCTAGTTTGCATTGCTCTTGGCCGGGTTTTGGAGGCTTTGAAGCTGAAGTCTTGGGCCAGGAGGTCATGAAGGTCATCTGAGCCTCGTCAGAGTACTTCCTGCACATATAAGGGCGGTAGATTTTGGCTCCCTGGCAGGCGTTCTTCAGCTTCCTCAGCTCCCACATCATCTGAATGAAGTAGTGCCGAGGGTTCTTGTTGTAGGCTCCACATTGGTTCGGTTGGCCCTGGAAGTCGCAGTAGTAGGAGCGCCCTGTAGCCTGGCTCGGGGATCTGCAGGAGACACGCAGACGAGTGAAGTTTCCTGCTGCTGACGACCCCATGGTGCATGAGTCCTTTGTCTTGGTGATGAATCTGATGGTGTCGTCCCAGACGCTGGACTGCTGCTGCGGCTGCTTGCTGTCGTTGCTTTGGACGTTGGATCCACAAACAGCTGCCACCAAAAGCAGCGGCAACATCATAAGTTTCATCCCGGTCCTCATGGCAAAGCTCTTAGCTACTGCGGGGCACGGCGCTGTTTGCTTCTAAGGCATGCAAATGCAAACTTTGCAAGCTTGACAGATGGTTTTATTCATGATTCAGACGTAAACTCCTCCCCCACTTGCTAAGCTACGTGTGGGACGTTTTAAAAATGATCGACGAGACGGCTGGAAGAGGAAGAGGGCACAGAAACCACAGGAGAAACAGGAGAAGCTGATGAAAAGCAAGAGGCATAAGAGAGGCTCACACATGAGGCCAGATGTTGGGGAACAGGAGGACTATTGACCATTGATGAGAAGGAGAGCAGCAGGAATATGGAGCTAAAATCCTGAAAGAATATTCGCCTCCTTACAGATTTCTTCCATTTTTTTTCTTTGCCAGGCTCAGGATCTTTCAGATCATCAAATTATTTTAATATGAGACCAGATTAACTTGAGCATCTACAAAAGAGAGTATTCCATTGATTTTATTTTTTGTGTGTGAAAAAGCAAGTGCTGGTTGTGAAACCCTTAGGGACAACATCACTTTTATATCCCCTTCATGATTTTCTGCAGGAGAGCAGAAATTCTTGTTTTATCAGTTATGGCAAGTCATTCAGGTGCTGAAGCAATGAAACAACCCCACATCACCACACTACCACCTCCATGTTTGATGTTTTAATTCTGAAATGATCGGTTTAAAATGTACAAAAGGAAAAACGCTTTAAAGATCCCAAAGAATCATGACATTTATCCAGATGTTTGTTGGCAAATACTTAATACTCTCACCAGTTCTTGCCTATAATCTCATTCTTACTGTGTAACACAGGCAAGCAGAGCTTTGCAGTGCTTTATATGTTGTTGGGCTCTTTTGTTACTTCCTGGAGTCAATAAATGCGTTTCTGTTACGAATGTCTTCAAAACTTTGACAATATTCTGCTAATGTCGAAAAAAAAATACAATTTTATAGTTGCCTTGTTTCCATTAAATAAGAAAGCCAACTAAAATCACACTGACGTGACAGATCAGTACAACACATCAACTACTTCCTGTCTTCTTCTTCATGGTTTCCAACAGTGGAAACATCTGGTTGTTGATCACGTGATGCAAAAAAGTATTTCCATTGCAGTTTTGCGAGATAAACCAGTTTTAATGCGGTAAAAAACAACTACAAAAAACCCCTCCTCCTAGCTCTGTTCTGTTTTAGTACTTGTGAATAATGGCTCTCTAACTGTATTTTATTTACCTTTAAAATGGTGTTTCTTAAATGCTTCTGAGCTTCTTAAGGTCGGGGCATGACATGTTGCTTTAGCCTGATTCATTTAGTCAGACAGGTTCTATTAAAGTAATCCATAGATTTTTCTAAGCCAGCTGTATTGACATCTGCTTGTGGTTGGTAATTCACGAGAAACAAGGACTGTGGAAACGATTTTTTTCATTTGGTTTGAATAACATTTTATTCTGTTTGTAAATCAAATCATAAATTAAAACTTCATTGTGGATTCAGTTGACAGCTGATGTATGGCTGATGACACGCACGGTTAGTTTTTATCATGTTTTTTCATGTTCTTACAATTAAAAGTTGACTTCATTTTGACAAAGCATCAGTGTAAAACTGCTAATAGGGTACATATGCCTATGAGCTGTGGAGACCGAGACCACCAGCTTTAGTTTTTATCTCGTATTTGTAAAATTTAAAATCTACGGTTTGTGCAGCAATGATTCTCTCAGAGAGTCATAGAAAAGTCCAACGCGGGTCCCCAGCAGAACTCCCATCTGGGGATTTTTGCGTCACCAGACACGAGTCTGAACATAAAGTTTCTGGCTCTGGAAGGCGATGTGTTTAATTTGGCTTCCAGGGATGGGTTGGTAATTAGTCTTTGAAGATGCAGATTCTGACCACCTCTGCTGGCCCCTTTACATGTGGTTACACTCTAAAAAGAGTATTTGCTCTCTGTTGATGCTGGGGTCTTATTACATTCACTTAATTCATTTGGGTTGGTGATGACAACTTTTATTGGTTCAGTTCACTTAGAAATCACTTTTTCATCTGAAATGAACTTTTTTTTACTTTTATTCTAAGTAAAACTATTAAGTTGACTGCAGCTTTGTTATCCTACGTCTACACAGACCCCAGCAGCAACCACATTGTAACCGCCATTTCTTTTAGAGGGACAGTTTTATGTGTTTTTCAGCCACAGACTGCCATTTTATAGAACAATCATGTGTTACCTCAAGTTGTAATAAAAATCCTACATATGTCAAATATGACTTAAAAGAAATTTTACTTCATACTTTAATGCATTGAAATTGGGCCTCTGTCTCTTTAAAAACATCTGTTCTTTGTGAAACTCTCCGCCTTCCGGAAGTCACCACAACATGGCTCCTCTATTAACCCTTTAACAACATTTTTACTAGCGTTTCACTGAGAAGTAGTTTGGTGTGTGAATTTCATTGTTTTTTAGAGTTAAGTACTTAAGACTATTTAATATCTGACCTTCAGAACAGTTGTAACAATTTCTGGTCCACACATTAAAAAGTCAAAAGGAAGAAACACAAAAGACTCAAGTTGGACTCAAGCTTTTATTCACAGATTTGCTCCTTCTGGAGAAACTCCAAAATTTTCTCTTTGGTCCTTAGACCTCTGTTGTCATGGCAACAGGGCTTGCTGTAATGGACTACCATAGGCTACGCTGCCTTTGCGCGTTAGCCGTCCAAAAGTACTTACGTAACATCATGCTAAAAAGCAGCATATGTTATGTTAACAACAGCAGCTTTTCTCATTTATTATGGGATAAACTGGAGCTGCCAATTAACTTGTTCAATATTTAAAGGCAATATTTTCAACATTTTGGGAATCCCCTTTGTTTCCTGGTTGTTTGTGAAAAGAAAATATGTCCATAAATGTTATAAAAACTTCAATGAATATTTGAGCCATCCAAAAATATCCTTGGTATAATTTCAAATATAAGATATAATCTCAATTAAAATGTTATGCTACAAACTAAAATATACATTTTACTAGCAAAGCAGGTGTTTGACATTTTAGGCTTTTTGTCTGGATGGATGGATGGATGGATGGATGGATGGATGGATGGATGGATGGATGGATGGATGGATGGATGGATGGATGGATGGATGGATGGATGGATGGGCCAGAATTTTCAGCAGACATTCATGGTAATTAGAAGACAAAGTAAAGCTCTGGTGATCAGAAATACTTCACGTTAAGCCATTATTAAGTTAATTTTCTATTTTTTGAAGGAGTATATCTTTTATTTTGTTAGTTATCCACTAATGTGTTTAATTATGCAGCAAAACATATTGCCCTGACTGTGCTGTTTTACACTTTCCCCTAAACATGTATGCAATCAGTCATCCCAAATAATTTAAGCTATGATACAAATATCCACAGAAAGAAAAAAAAAACATAAATCTACAAAAACATGACTAACATTATATAAAACAAAGATTAACAAAAGAATATATAAAACTTTCAAAAGTTTTGAAAGTGTATAAAATGATGACTTCGGTTGTCACGATAAAACTGATGTAGATGAGGCTTAATTCTCTGTTATGATGCAGGAACTTTCTACAGCATGAGAAGCCAGAAGATTGCTGGAGCGACCGAGAGAGGATTTCATGAGTTTGCAGACGACGGCCTTCAGAAGTTCTGTTATGAGGAGATGAAGGAGCGCTGGGGGTGGGACGCCCCACCACACTCTTCCTGATTATTGATTTTTATTCCCTTTTTGTGTTCCACTGAAGCTTCAGGTGATCTAAATGCTGGAAAAATCCCAGAGATCCTGGGAAAAAGATGGAAAGGAGCCATGGGTTAGACAGTTATTAATGTACTCCTTTTTTTCTATCTACAGTCTTTTTCTATCTATTGTGATGTTGCACATCAGAGTCTAGAAGAGGAGAGTTTAAGAAGGGAGCGCTCACCTTTACAGGACTGATCAGTTCCAGTTCTCCTGTCCACTGTGGAGGAAGGAAGGAAACAAAGTCAAACCAGGTGAAGCACAAAAGAAATCCTCAACTTTGATCTATTTTCACTTTTCCAATTGTTGGAAAACTCCATTCTCTACTTAGTGCCCAGAACTATGCATTAAATTCAATTTCTTTAGAGCTTTGAAAGAGTGATAAGCTCTTTAATATGTTTTCTAATCAGAATAAACAAACATTTACTCACTCCTACAATTCTTTATTCAATTCAATATAAACGCTAGGGATATGGGTGTATAGAAAATGGATGGATGGATAAACACTTCTTGACTTTTGTTCTTTTCTGTATGATGAAAATATATAATCATTGGGGTATAAAGACAAATTTGCTCCTTTGTTTTATCGCTGATGAAGAATTATCCTTAGACTGATTTAGAGTTCGGAGACTGATCGGTTTCTGACTCATTCTGTGATCTATTCCAATTAAAAGTTTCTGCAGAGTTTTGTAAAATAATAAAGAGAAGCACATAAAGCACTAGCTATGACTCATGGTGGGCAAAAAAAGAAAAATAAAGGTAGGAAACTTATCAAAGTGGTCAATGTGAGAAGTGAAAGAAACATTGAGTATTATCAATATAAAACAGCTAATTTACAACTTTGCTCAGTAACAGTTGAGACTCATGACTAATTTCTATGACAGAATCAGATGAAAACTTTGTTCCCCTTTGACTTTTGCTTAAAATTTTAAGAAAAAAAAGATCAAGAGGGCGAGAAGAAGAAATATGGTGAAGATGATGATGAAAGATGGATCCGGGCAGCAGGACGAATCCGAATCGAGGAGAATGGTTTGATGGACAGTCAGTCGAGTTAGTGATGGTCAGACGAAGGGTTTTCGCCGGTCATAAATACCTCTAACAGGGAAGAAACATCCTGCAGGTCACCATTCACTTGGTGGAGCCGAGGCCCGAGGGAACCAAGTCAGTGTGTCATTATAGGGAGCGCTACAAACACACACACGAGGAAGTCTTTATAATAAATAAAAAAAAAACTTATTTTATTAAACTCTTTCTGATTTGCAGATGGAACTCCCTCCACCGCATGCAGACAAGCGAAGTTTGATTCATAGCACTGCTCATACCTTTCCACTGAAATCACACACC